TTTATTTTTATTTTTATTTTTTTTTTCCTTTGTTCTTTTATATTACAACTCGTTAGGCGTTGTAAATTTGTAACTTTAATGTAACACATGTATAGATCAAAATTTTTAAGGAAAGAAAAAAAAAAATACAAAATATAAAATAATGCACATACATGTAATATATATATATATAGAGTCAATTATAAAAAAAGGATAATTAATAAGCATATATTTACATATATATATATATATATATATATATATATATATATATGTGAATATGTAATATTATTTGTATGTACAGATAAAAAGCCTTATATTAAAAAAAATGTGTATTTACGCATATATATATATATATATATTTGTATATTTATGTACTTATTTATTTTGTATCAAATGAATTATATCTTAATCTATATAAACTTATATTTAATTATTTGTTCTTAATAATAAGTAAAATATAAATAGGTTTCTTTACAAGAATTTTATAACATGGCTTATTAATAATTTATGTATAATAATTAATCACATATATTTAAATATATAATAAGTATATGGATGAAATCTTCTTTTTTCATTAAATATAATAAAAAATATATATATATATATATATATATTATATACATAGAACAGTGCTATTTTATTTTATTCAATATTTTTTGTGTTATATATGTATAATTCTAGAATATATTTAGAGTATAAAAAGAAAAATAAAATAATTTAATAATTCTATAAATATATATTTATAAGTAATAATATTACACTGGTATATAAATAATATTAATATATTTAATATCAACACTATCGGTATGTGTATCCTTTTTATAATTTATATTAAAATGTCACATTTTCTTATTATATGTAAATATATGAAAAAAAAAATAAAAAATAAAAAACAAAAAAAAAAAAAAAAATTATAATGTAATAAAATATATATCTCTTTCAGTTTGTATCTACATATATTAAGCTGTCATAGAAATAGTATATAAAAATACATTCATAATTCATTAATACATTATATTAATTTTTTGATGCATATTATAATAAGATGAGAGATATGTAAATATTAAAAATGCTTTTATTTCAAAAGGGAAGAGAAAATATCCATTTTATGTAATATGTATTTTCTAAACATTTATTTATTTTTATATTTTATTTAAAATGTATTTATTATATGAAAGCATATAATATTAATAACATGAGCATAAATAAACTATAAATAGATAATAAAATAAATGTATGTATATTTTCTTTTTCTATGAATGTATCATATAATGATCGGGGTAATAAATTATGAGACAAAAAAATGTATTATCATATTTATATATATTTAATAAAAATATTTTCTATATATAAAAAGTATTTATCAAAATATCATATATGTATTTATATATTTATTTATATTTATTCCTTTTCTTTTTTGCAATATTATGTTGCTATATGTATAAGGTAATAAAAAAAATATACATATATATATATATTTATTTATTCAAAAAAGACTATGTTTTTCAGTATATATATAAAAAAACACAAATTATAAAATTATTTTATGTAACAAGTGTGTAAAAATGTAAAAATATAAAAATATTTCATTCCACATTTTTTTTTTATTTTATATTTAAAAAGTAAAAAAAAGTGAAATAAGACAATATCCAATTTTATACTTTAAAATAGTTCTACACATATATGTATAAAAAAAAATATATATATAAAAATAAAAATAGGCAATATCACGGTTCAAAATATATTGAAAAATAATAAAAAAAAATAAACAATATTATATTATATGAGAAAGAATTATGACGAGTACAAAATTTTATTTATAAAAAAATAATATTATAAATATATATGTATATGTATACACATTCACTTAAATATTTATTAAATATATAAAATGATAAAGACAATATAAGATACGTCACATATTTCTATCTTGCACTATATAAATATGAATTTATATATTAATATGTATAAATATATAGAAGTATATAGTAATACATATATTATTATTGACAGATAAATAAATATAAATGTATATATGTATAACTTTGCACATATATATAAAAACAAGACATGGAATTATAATTATTTTATATAAAAATATATTCTATGTAGTTATACATTTGTATATATGTAAATTTTTCTATACATTTATATTATACATATATATATATAAGTTCATTTAAATTACTCGATTTTTTTTTTTTTTAATCTTTATAACTTGAATAAAATACTTCTAAAATATTTATATACCTTAAAAAAACCAAATAAATAAAATAGGCAAGCACAAAATATTATATTTATTTTAGTTAGGTTTTTTTTTTTTTTTTTTTTTTTTTTTGCGTAAATTTCTTGTTATATAGTTAGATAAAGCAAATTCATTTGTATTCTTATGTATCATATAAATATTAAATAATGTATATTTCAAAAAAAAAAAATTAAAAAATTAAATTATATATTATTTTTAATTACATAAATTAATTTACTTTTATACTGAATAAAATATATGTGTACTATTATATAATAAAAGAAAAAAAAAAAAAAAAAAAAAAAAGTTTCTAGCAGTTGCATTTTTATTTTTTTTTTTGTTTTTTTATAGCTGTTTTATATCAATTTTTTTTTTTTTACAATAATATATAATAACATATAATAGAAGAATATATATAAGTTGTGAATTATATTTTTTTTTTTTTTCACGTTTACAGAAAAAAATATATATAGAAAAATGTGTTTATTTTTTTTTACAAATTTCAAATTTCATTTTTTTTTATTTTCCTTTTTTTTTTTTTGAATATAATATAAAATCAATGTTATATTGAAATATACAAGTTCTTTTGAACATTTAAAAAATAAAAATTCATATACATATTGAAAGAAAAAAAAAATATATATATATATATTTATTTATATTTATATCTTTCTTGTTATGTAATTTTAAAATATTTATTATTCATATATTTATATATATAATTTTTTCAAGTCTTTATGTGGTAATATCTTTTAATTATAACGAATTAATATATACACATTTTTATAATGAATGATAGAATATAATAGAAAGAAGAAAAAATGTTACCTACTTATTTTTGAATAAGAATGTGGTTATATATAATTATGTTGGTTTTATATAATCTATTAATGATCTTTGATATATTGATAAAAGATAAAATATATTTAAATAAAATGTAATAATAATAATATTAATATATATATATATATATAAATAATTTTGACCTTATATATTTTTTATATATCTTATGAAAAAAAAATGTGTGTGAATAAGAAATACATTATTTTTTTTCTTTTTTTTCTTTTTTACAGTATACACTTTAATATTATATTATATATATAAATATACATATATACATATATTTTTATAATATGTAAATTAATACAATTATATATATATATATATATATATATATTATTCATGGGCATATTCTAAATAAAGGTACACAAAAATTATTAAAGAAAAAAATATTATTTTAGTTAAAAATTATTTATTACAACTTACATAAAAGAAAAAACATTGCATGCATTGGTATCTTTTACTTATTAAATATTTTATATTTTCATAGTATTCTAAGGATATATATATATGAAAACAAATTATTATCATATAGTAAATTAATAGTTCAGTTATTTTTACGAAATAATTTATTCAAAATAAAAGTACTAACATGTGAATTGTTTTTCTTTGTATATAAAATTAGCTGCTTTCTTTTTTGTAGGCTTATATATATTTTAAAAAAACATATTTTATTTTTATATGATATATAAAAAATATAAATATTATAAATTTCAAGTTGCTACATGAATTTTTAATATTCTTATATGGAAGAAACATAACGTTTTTGTAATTAATACAGTTATATATATGTATTATTAAAATGTTTTTTTGAGAAATAAATTTATACAATATAATATATATATATATATATATATATTATATTATTAATTACAAAATAAATAAAAATCTTTAGTAGAACATTATAATAAACTATTAAATCTAAATGTAAAATCTCTATTCAAAGAAAAAAAAAAGGATGATAAAAAGTATATATTCTTTTAACAATTTTCATTTGTAGATTTTGATTTATAACTTGTTCATTTTTAATAAAAAAAGAAAATATATAAAAGCGGAAATTGCACTTTTTATTTTAATAAAAAATATATGTAAATATATAAATATAGATATTAAAGAGTGTACATATTTCTACCATGATATATTAATTTTTATCCATAACAAATAATACTATTATGTATAAAATTTTAGAAATATAAAAATATAATTATATTTGCTTTTTTAATATATATGCCATAATATTTACACAAAAAAATATAATGTAAATTTTTATTAATAATTGAAATTATATGATATATTATAAATAACACTTTTTATAATATATATATATATATATATATATATATATATATGTTCATATGAAATTGTTCAGGATGTAATTATATAATTATTCTAAGAAAAAATTCTCTACAGGTCAGAAAAAAAGTTCTTTCTTTAAAATGATTATAATAAACAATATCGTCGTTTATTTATTTTTTCACTAAATAAATACACATAAAAATATATGTGTATGTTTATTATTGTAATGTATATTTTTCTATGAATAAGTTTAAAACGATAAATATTTATATATATATATATATATATATATATATATATATATACTCGTGTGTGTTCAATAATACAAAATAAATGTAGAAGAATATATATTCTATTTGGCAGGTGTTTATTCATATATGATATAATAAACATTCCATATTATATATAAATTAGTTTATTTTTAAAAACTTTTATTTTCTAATGTATGTATTACTCTTCAAAGGAATTAACAGCTGTGCAAAATTTTATAATAAAAAGAAATAATATAGCAATGTAAAAAAAAAATAAAATGAATAAAATTGTACTTAATAATATTTTAAATTATGAATATATATATATATATATATTAATATTTAATTTGTATGATAGAATACTCTTTTTCTTTTCTTTTCTTCTTTTTCTTTTTCTTTTCCTCTCATTTTTGTATATATGATTACATATAAATTTATCACTTTGTATTTTTTTGTTCAGATAATTTGCTTTTATTTATAGTTTCCTTATGTATAGCTTTCTGAAGAGCTATGAAAAATTCTTCAAGAGAAATTAAGACCTTTTCCTTATTGTTATTTGAGCAATTATAAAATCGTAACGTCTGTAAAATCAAATCCCAGTCATAATATAATAATATAACATAAAATATTATAAATAAATAATTCATATCAACTGGTTATTATATATATATATATATATATATATATATAATGTGTGCGTGAACATGTATATTTCTTTCTTAGTTTATTACGGCTTGGCAAAAATAAGCATATGCTTGAAAAGGTATTCTTCTCAAACACCTTCCGCTGAAACCTTCACTCAGTTTAGCGCATTTTAGTAATATATATCCATTGCTATTAAGAAATAAGAGAAAAAAAAAAAAAAAAAAAGGAAAACAAATAATTTTATATTATTTCTGTAAATATAATAGTCTGTTAATATTTTCCTTTTTTTGTTTTTTTTTTGTTTTTTTTATTCTTTAATATAATTTTTATTACATGTATTCTTCCTTATCGTCATCCTTATAACTCTAATAAATTGAAAAATATATGAATTTTATTTTTTCTTAAATAAAAATATTAAAAAGTATATTTTCTTATTTATTTTTTTTTGCTTTCGTACTCTTGTTAGTTTTTTTGCTCGTTCATAATTTGGTATTTTTGTTGATAAACGAATAATTTCTTTTTCTATCTATAAGTAAAAGAAAAGGAACAACACAAAAGGTTATTACATGAAATATATATATATATATATATATATATATATTATTTTATACATAATATTATTCCATATTATATATACTTATTATTTAAATAAAGAAGATTTTACCAATTCATCTATGCAATTTTTATATATTTCATATATACATTCTTCATTGGGGAGCCCAATAAATTGTTTTAAATCAACTCTGTCAATGAAGGCTTCATCAATCATTTCTGGTAAATATTATAAGAATTATAAAAAAATTTATATGTTGCTATATATTCATATGATAATCTATATATATATGTATTTATGTATTTTTTTTTTTTTTTTACAATTTATTCTCTTAATGTTATATATTTACCAGAAATATTTGATGTTGTTAATATTAATGTATTATGGTAATATTTTAATGAATCTATTTGTGTAAGCAATGTATTAACTACTCTTACAGTATCTGAAGGATCTGTACTTTCAATAGACCGTTTTCTATCTGCTGACAGACTTTCTACTTCATCTATTAGTAGGCAAATAAAAATATCATTTTCTTCATATTCACTTATCATTCTTTTGATTTTATTAAATAACTTTAAAACTTGTTTCCCTGATTCGCTGAACCATTTTGAAAATAACGTATGTGTGTTAAGTTCAATTAAGATCCCTAATATGAAAAAAAAAAAAAAAAAAAAAAAAATTAAAAATGTTATAGGCAAAAAATGATTAATGTGTTATTTGTGTTAGAGAAAGAAGTAATATGATTTAATAAATATTGTTTAACAATAATGGTTATATATATATATATATGTTTATATTACCTGTTGTATATATATTGGATAAACGTATACATACTTTATTAGCCAAAGCTTTGCATAGAGAGGTTTTTCCTGTACCAGGTGGGCCATATAATAATACTAAATGATTATAATTAATCATATTACAATCTACTTTTTTTGTGGAAAATAACATCAATGCTGATACGTATTCTAATAAATCTCTTTTTATATTCTCTTCATAATATAAACTATCCCATAATTTATGAAAATGTAAATGAGGTAATATATATTGTATGTACGTAGGTACATCATTTTTTTCTTTTTCTCCTATTTGGCCTTGATCTTCTCCATATTCACTAGCATCATTAAATTTTTCTTCCATATGTTCTTCATTTTTGTAATATGTTACTACATGTACAACACAAAAGAAGTTTGGTAAAATTATAGGATCTTCTTCTATAGAAGAAATAGATTTTTCTCCTATAATAGGTACTGTAAATAATAAATTTGATTCTTGATATATATTTTTTTTTTCTTTCCCAATTAGATCATTATAAAAATTTGATGTGTGTACAATATTTTGTGAAAGGTCTAGGGAACTTACTAAAGATTTTTTTTTCTTATTGTCATCTACAGTTTTCAGTGGAGTAGTCTTTTTTCTTTTCCGTTTTTCATCATACATATTACTATTACTAATAATATTATTTGATATGTCCTTATCTTGTGTAGAACAGTTTATATCACAACTATTTAAATCGTAGGATGTATTTAATTCATATACTGAATAGTGTGATGGATATAATTTTTTACAACTATCATTATCAATATGATCCAAGGTATCTATATGATTAACATTATATATATTATTCTTATTATCAATGGTATTATGATTTTCTAAAGTACCATCATTTCCTTTGATATCTATAGTATCGGTACTATTGGAATTATTATTTTTTTTATAACTTTTATAATTTTTAAAATCTTCATTGTACTCCTTAACTATTTTTATAGGTATAGCAGGTTCGATAACAATATAATCACAATATTTTTTTAATTTTTCACAAACAATTTTTGATGGATCATGTCTTCCTAAGGTTATTGTAATACCTAGGGAAAATAACCATTTCTGTGCAGCCACTTTTATCATTTCGCTCGATACATCGATTTCATTTTTCAGACATATTTCGCAGCATAAAGGTATTCTTCTCTCTTCATTTGAGCTCATCAGAAAAACACTAAAATTTATAATCAATAACAAATAAAATTAAATATATAATATAAACATGTTAAAAAAAAAAAAAAATACATATATATATATATATATATATATGCATCTATTTAGGGGTACAAGATTAATGCTAATTTGCTTTCTATTTCCTTTCTATACGTTTATTTTGTACATTATTACTTTTATAACAATATATAAAATTAATATACATTTAAAATAAATTTCACGATACTTCATATTACACATATCGATATGTTAATATATAGAACATCACATTATTTTAAAATTCAGTATATTAATACTTGCAAAGCATGTACATACATTTCTCAAATAAAAAAAAAAAAAAAAAAAAAAAAAAAAAACTTTAAGAACAATTCTTTAGGTATTAACAAAATTAAAATATTGCATATATTATTGATTACTATATAATAAATTAGTTTATTTTAACACAGTAAGTATGGTATTGATTGATATAATTTTTAAGACATAAGAAAAATATTTAGAAAATAATAATATAATATTATTATGTAATTATGTATTATAATTTTAATAAATGTTGTAGATTTTTTTTTTTTTTTTTTTTAATAACACTACATATATTTAGATGGATTTTCTATATTGACTTAAAGGAAAATTCATCTTAAAGGTATAAGAAATATTTTCTCATTTCTCAATTCTAATATTGGATTACTAAAATATATTTATTCATTTCTTTTACAATTTAAGAGTAAAATATATAAAAAATGGCATGTATATATAAATATATATATATATATATATATATATAT